CCTCATTCGCAACTCAACCTGTCTGTCTCTGACAGACCAGTGTGATAGGTTTTTCGAGCTTCTGAGATTCCAGTGAATCCGTAATGTGAGATATCGAAACGAATAATTGAATGACAACTACGTTGACCTCAATGGTATGATTACAAAATATTGACAGCAGGTTCCGACAACAGTAGCTTACTATAATAAGTGATAATTCTGACAGCATCCTCTGTGAATGACTCAAACCATAGCCATAGGCTACCACCACCTATAGGTTAAGGTTAGTAAAAGGGTTAACTAAAATGCTACAGTTGTACCCGATGCGACTCGAACACAAAACCTTCGGATTGCTAGATGGTCACGGTATACCCTCACCTATCCTCCTTGACCAACCTCCTGACTTTAGTTTATGTCTTAAGTCTCCAGAACACTATTCCATTTGTAACATAACATCATACTAAATGAAGGGACTCAAATGTACACAACATATCCTATGTCTGTTTAAAGTGGTCAGGCTGACATAAGAAAGTCATTATGCCAAACAATGATACAATCATTAAGTCTGTAGAAAATCTATTAAGACTTCAAAAATGACCTCACAATGCTTCTGTATGCTGACGACAGCTGGCTTCTAATAATAGCAAATAGAAACAGCATGACCACAGGAAGAAATACCCTTTTTTTTGGCCTACTGTTTTATGTTTGCTTGGCAGTCTATCTTCAGTAAGAAAACAAATAGTTTGGGTTAGGCTATAGGCTACTGGCATTAAAGGTAGACTCAGCGATATGACGTAGATGCAGAAAGTGAACAGCATAGTGCAGTGGTCACCAACCAGTCGATCTTCAATGCATTCCTAGTCGATCACCAAACATTTCTGTAGAAAAGCCAACGATAAAAGCTTGCACTCTTTTTTTTGTGTGTTGCGCTGCTGGACTCTGAAGCCTTGCACACCGGGTTGGCAAAGTATTCCCATTTTTAACCATTTAATTTGTCTGGGAGATCAAGTGCGCCTACTATGCTGGCCAATCGGATAGCTCAAATCACTGTGCCTACAGCTTTCATGACACCGGCCACCGCAAAGTTTGATACTATGTGAGATTTCATAACTTTTCAAAACATTATCAGAGAGACTGTCAAAGAATACAGCAAAGAGATGCTGTTTTTATGAGTGAGTTCATGTCAAAAAAATTTATTCAGCACTGTCAACACTGTTTTTACTCAACACTATTACAAAACATAAAATGGCTTCTCTCTACTTCCACTCGCGCTGCAATGAATTAGTAGTAGCAGCTCGTTGTCTCTATTTTAATATCAAGGAATATTTCACTTTCTTTGGTCATAAGAACAACATGAATTTGGGCATGAGGCAGATGCGGTGCGACTCGAGTTTCGCCATCACCTGGTAGAAGGTGTCCACTCTCTCTGGTCAGTCTCACCGGAGGAAAGAAAGGAGAGAACAGGGGCCGTGAGAGGTGGACCCTCTACCACTCTCTCCCTCCCTCCGCTGAGACTAATACCGTGTTCAAAACAACTGGAAAGTCGGAAATTTCGGAGTGCGTTCAAGACAACTGGGGAAAAAAACGAGATCCGACTGGGAAAAATCGTTTTGAACGGTCATCCAACTCGGGATTCCAAGTTGTAAAATCAGGCATCTTTCCAGGGCTCCGACTACTCGACCTGAAGATCACTGACGTCATGATTTGACATAAAAAAAATGTCAGAGTTCCCAGTTGTCTTAAAAGCACCATGACCATCAGATGCAGGTACCATCAGTCCAGTAAAATAAAAAAGCAAACTATTTGCAAATTATTTCAATTTATGCTCAGCTGTGCTGCCTCGCAAGTGCTACACCAACTGATCTATTTTGTTATCAAAGCTTTTTTAAGTCATTTAAAAAAAAGATTCTGAGTGGTAGATCTCGGCTTGCTTTTTGACTGCGAAAGTGATCTTGACTCAGAAAAGGTTGGTGACCACTGGCATAGTGGGTCAATTTGAAGCTCAACTTCTCTGCTGTTTTGGTGCCCTGGCTACCATGCTATGAACAGTGTGAAGCGAACCTGTGCACATGCGCAGATACTGTTTGTGTGAGAGTCTTGCATCTTGCTCATCTCAATAGCCGTATTCGAGAGGATCAAAATCGTAATGTATCATGGGTAAATTGATCTACAAATAATAACGAGTCATTATTTATGATGCAAGGTTCTTTGTAGATCCGTCAGTTGGCTGTCGCCTGCACCATCGGCTGCAATGTTGAACAAGCCCAATATCTGCGGTGCTGCCTGTGGCAACGTCATTTCGCTGAGTCTACCTTTAAGCATTCAACAATTGTCAAAGGTTTGAACTCCTCATGCAATAGGCCTACCACTATAAAATGTTGCATATAGCCTATCCTAATAATGTTAGCCTAGAGTTTTTAAAGTCTGATATGAAACGTTACATAGGCTAACTATATAGGCTAACTGCATATTGTTAAATAATAATTAAATTTTATTTAATAATAATACATTTGTTTCATGTCTGTATATATTAAATGTTCACTCCCTGTACTTGCTTCTCGTCTCCCAGCGTCTGTCCTTACACTTTTGACCGGTAGTGTATGTGGAACTCCTTCAAGACTGTTGGAAAAGCATTCCTCATGAAGCTGGTTGAGAGAATGCCAACAGTGTGCAAAGCTGTCATCAAGACAAAGGGTGGCTACTTTGAAGAATCTAAAATCTAAAATATACCGTATTGGTCCGAATATAAGACGGCCTTTTTTCCCCTCGAAATAGGTCCAAAAAAGTCGGGTCGTCTTATATTCGGGGTCTAGTATTCAGAGCGCAGTTTCTCTTCTTCGGCGCTCCCTTTAAATGTCAATACACATTCGCGGGCACAGATGGCGCCAAAAATTCGTTCCGGACGGAGGGAAGAGGCGTCCTTAACAACCAGCCCGTTACCGGTGTTTAAAGATGGAAAGACAGGCTGACCATTTAGAGACAAGTGGCTCAAAAGTGGGCCAGGTCAATAAACAACAGCGGAGGAGCTATGATGCCAATTTCAAAATAATGGTTGTCAATAAGGCAGAGTCATCTAACAACTGCCAAGCTGCCAAGACATTCGGGGTCACTGAGTGTAATGTAAGAAGATGGCGAGCAGAAAAACAACGTCTAAAAGATGCTAACAGTCAGCGAAAATCCTTCCGTGGTCCTCAAAGTGGTCGTTTCATTGAGGTTGACCGGAGGGTTTTTGAATATGTCAGGGAAAAAAGAAGTGAGGGAATGCCCATTACCAGAGCTGTCATCCAGGTTAAGGCCCTGGAAATCGCCAGAGAGCTCAACATCACTGGATTTAAAGCCAGCCTCGGCTGGTGTCGTAGGATGATGCGGCGTAATGGACTGTCACTTAGACGGAGAACGAGTTTGGCCCAACGCCTGCCGTCAGACTTCGGAGAGAAGCTGCTTTCGTTTCAGCGCTTTGTTATCAACCTGAGGAAGAAGCACTCCTACCCGCTGGATCAGATCGGCAATGCTGATCAGACACCCGTTTATTTCGACATGCCAACATCGGTGACTGTCAATAGAAAGGGAGATGTTGCTTTATTATTGCTTGATATTAATTTTGAATCATACTGTACATAGTTTGCCTTTGTGTTTAATTCACTGTGTTTTTAATATTGTTATTTTAAAATAAAATGAAGTTCTTTGTTCGGCAAATCTAGTCTGCAAATCTGTTTTTCTAAATGTTTGTGTTGAAAAACGGGGGGTCGTCTTATAATCAGGGTCGTCTTATATTCGGACCAATACGGTAGTTTGATTTGTTTAATAGTTTTTTGGTTACTACATGATTCCATATGTGTTATTTCATGGTTTTGATGAAAATAGTAAAAATAAAGAAAAACCCTTGAATGAGTAGGTGTGTCCAAACTTCTGACTGGTACTGTATATATATATATATATATATATATATATATATATATATATATATATATATATATATATATATTTGTTTTTATTTAACTAGGCAAGTCAGTTAATAACAAATTCTTATTTACAATGAGGGCCAAAAGGCAAAAGGTGTCCTGAGGGGAGGTGGGCTGGGATTAAAAATAAAAATATAGGACAAAACACAGATTATCATATTCCGGACTCTGACATTGCTCTTCCTGATATTTCTTCATTCCTTTCTTTTTATTTGGGGGGATTTGTATTGTTTTGTATTGTTAGGTATTACTGCGCTGTTGGAGCTAGAAACATAATTTTGTTGCACCTGCCATAACATCTGCAAAATATGTGTATGCCACCAATAACATCTGATTTGATTTGCTTAGCATTTAGTCACTCTAGCATGGTGGTGGATAATGGCGTTTTTTTCGCCTTCTCGCCATTAAATAAAGTTGAGGAAATCGAAACCTATACAGTCTGAATGGAGAATGTTTTAGGTACGAACTGGTCCACGAGGGATACGAATGTATTGCCGGCTGCATACAATGCATTTGGACCGTAAGATAACACGACTCAATACCGCCATCTACCGGCCTTTGGGGCTACATTTCCTCCAGGTCTGAAGTGACGCTCGAGTTGTTGCGAGCGAATCGACTACCGGCAACATAAGTCACCTACCTATTCAGTTGCTGGTAAACCTTCTCAAGACTCCGATTCGGTCCGCACACATTCATTAAGAAAGTGTTTGTTTATTTGCAGCAGTGCTTTTGCGGTTTTGGTTTACCGTTGCTGTTTTTGTAGATACAGGCTCATTCTTTGAACATCCTTGAACTCTGAATAACTGTGGATTCGTCGCTTTGGTCCAAAATATGTGCTTTCATGCAAAATCCGGATATCAAGATCTTAAATTCAACCTACTCAAAGAAAAGTATGCAAACAATTTCAAGGAATGGCTGTTGATCCAGTCCTTCAAACGAATGCTTTTTAAGTTGTGTAAATGAGACATACGGACCACAAGATCTCAGACCCTTTACATAACCCCCGAGTGCAATAGGAATTTTACTCTTAGGTCAACTGCAATTATTTTGACATGGACAATGGATAATATAAGAATCGCAGTAAATGGTGTTTCTTATAACGAGGCAGCAGAGATCTACAAACCACATGCTGATCCGTTCACTGGTCCAATAACACATCTTGCACCTTGGAATTTCGCAGTTTTGGCTACCTTGATGTTTGTTGTAACATCTCTGTCTCTATTTGAAAATTTCACTGTTATGTTGGCCACTTACAAGTTCAAACAGCTGAGACAGCCCTTAAATTATATCATAGTTAATTTATCTGTTGCTGATTTCCTTGTGTCACTCACCGGTGGAACAATAAGTTTTCTAACAAATGCCAAAGGTTTTTTTTTTCTTGGAAATTGGGCTTGCGTATTGGAAGGTTTTGCTGTCACCTATTTCGGTAAGTTCAGCATGGATCATGGTAATGTATTTGAATAAGTAGCCTGGGATGCTGGTGAAACCGCACAGTTGCTGCAGGTGTCAGTGTTGGAGCTGTTTAGATTACCGAAATGTAGCAAGATAATAGCTTTTGAAAGTCAAAGACTGATTGGTTTCTTAGACAGTTTTTTAAATATTTAGCAGACGCTCTTATCCAGAGCGACTTACAGTTAGTGAGTGCATACATTTTCATACTGGTCCCCCGTGGGAATCGAACCCACAACCCTGGCGTTGCAAGCGCCATGCTCTACCAACTGAGCTACTAAAGACACACAATACATAGCAGAAAGGAATCCATCCATCTTTTGTAGTGCATTTGGCAGTTCTTTCAAAGTAAATGTAAAATCTATAAGGTCCCTCAGTCAAGCAGTGAATTTCAAACACAGATTAAACCACAAAAACCAGGGAGGTTTTCCAATGCCTCGCAAAGGGCACCTATTGGTAGATGGTTAAACATTTCAAAAGCAGACATTGAATATCCCTTTGAGCATGGTGAATTTATTAATTACACTTTGTGTATCAATGCACCTAGTCACTACAAAGATACAGGCTTCCTTCCTAACTGAGTTGCGAGAGAAGAAGGACACCACTCAGGGATTTCACCATGAGGCCAATGGTGACTTTAAAACAGTTACAGAGTTTAATGACTGTGATAGGAGAAAACTGAGGATGGATCAACAACATTGTAGTTACTCCACAATACTAACCTAATTGACATAGTGAAAAGAAGGAAGCCTGTACAGAATAAATATATTCCAAAACATGCATCCTGTTTGCAACAAGGCACTAAAGTAATACTGCAAAAAATGTGGCAAAGCAATTAATTTTTTGTCCTGAATACAAAGTCTTATGTTTGGGGCAAATGCAATACAACACATTACTGAGTACCACTCTCCATATTTTCAAGCATAGTGGTGGCTGCATCATGTTATGGGTATCTTGTAACTGTTAAGGACTTGGGAGTTCTTCAGGATAAAAAATTAACTGAATGGAGCTAAGCACAGGCAAAATCCTAGAGAAAAACCTGGTTCAGTCTGCTTTCCACCAGACACTGGGAGATGAATACACCTTTTATTTATATTTCACTAGGAAACGCTGGGCCAATTGTGCCCTGCCCTACAGGACTCCCAATCACGGCCAGTTGTGATACAGCCTGGAATCGAACCAGGGGGTCTGTAGTGACGCCTCAAGCACTGAGATGCAGTGCCTTAGACCGCTGCGTCACTCGGGAGCCCTTTCAGCAGGACAATATCCTAAAACACAAATCTACACTGGAGTTGCCTACCAAGAAGACAGTGAATGTTCCTGAGTGGCCGAGTTACAGTTTTGACTTAAACCTGCTTGAAAATATATGGCAAGACCTGAAAATGGTTGTCTAGCAACGATCAACAAAAAATTTTTTACAACCAATTTGACATGTTGCACAATCCAGGTGTGGAAAGCTCTTAGAGACTTACCCAGAAAGACTTACAGGTGTAATCGCTGCCAAAGGTTGAATACTTATCTAATCAACATATTATTATTGTTATTATTATTATTTTTTTTACAAATGTTAGAATTTTTCTTCCACTTTGACAATACAGAGAATTTTGTGTAGATCAAATGTTTTTTTTGTTTTTTTTACAATTAAATACATTTTAATCCCACTTTCTAACACAACGAAATGTGGAAGAAGTCAAGGGGTGTGAATACTTTCTGAAGGTACTGTACATACTCTTAGAAAAAAAGGGCTACCTAGAACATTAAAATGTTATTCCGCTGTCCCTGTAGTAAAACCAAAGCCTTTTTGGTTCCAGGTAGAACCTTTTCACAAAAGGGTACTTTGAGTGTTCTACCTGGAACCAGAAAGGGTTCTCCTACAGGGACAGCCAAATATCCTTTTATGGTTGTAAAATATGTGTTGGTTACAATATCGAAGGACCATTAAAATAGATAAACTCAGGTGCTGGTTTCCAGGCCGGTAGTTACCACTACAGCAATGTCCGTCCAGAACAACGAGGAGACAGTATTTACAATTTAGGGGGGTTTAATGGACAGAAAGGATCCACATACACACACGCCACTCTTGAAACTGACATAGATTCTGGTTCTGTAAGGGAGATAATAAAAACTTAGACTCTAGCCCTGCAGAAGGAAAATATGCCTATCTGCCTACTAAATATGCTAGTGGACCAGTACTTCAACAACAGCAATACAGGAATGTCTACATATTATAAACACCATAGCATGAGCGATTTACATATACACAAAAGGAAATAGCTTATCACCTCAAATGACAAATGCTAACAAACGGCTAAACCTACTAGGCATGCTAACATACAGTACTAATGCATTCTTAGTGTAAATGCTAATGCTAGTGGCCGCGCGAGCTAGCCAACAAGCTCAACATAATTGGCAAAATACAACAACAGACAATACTTAGCAACAAAACCAACGGGACATAAAGATCTTAAAGCACTTATGTTTTAGATGCACGCACAATAAAATGTCAGACAACAAGGATATTTTTCACAAGAGGAAAAAGGTAGAGGGAGGGAAAAAGTAGTGCTTGTCAGGATGGAAAGCAATGTTATCTGATTTCTTCCCTGCCATGATAGGGATCCTACACGAATGAACCTGAAGTCTCGGGAATAGAGGATGCTGATTGGGTAATACAGTTGAAGTCTGAGGTTTACATACACCTTAGCCAAATACATTTAAACTCAGTTTTTCACAATTCCTGACATTTAATCCTAGTTAAAACTCCCTGTTTTAGGTCAGTTAGGATCACCACTTTATTTTAAGAATGTGAAATGTCAGAATAATAGTAGAGAGAATGATTTATTTAAGCTTTTATTACATTCATCACATTCCCAGTGGGTCAGAAGTTTACATACTCTCAATTAGTATTTGGTAGCATTGCCTTTAATTTGTTTAACTTGGGTCAAACGTTTCGGGTAGCCTTCCACAAGCTTCCCACAATAAGTTGGGTGAATTTTGGCCCATTCTTCCTGACAGAGCTGGTGTAACTGAGTCAGGTTTGTAGGCCTCCTTGCTCGCACACGCTTTTTCAGTTCTGCCCACACATTTTCTATAGGATTGAGGTCAGGGCTTGGTGATGGCCACTCCAATACCTTGACTTTGTTGTCCTTAAGCCATTTTGCCACAACTTTGGAAGTATGCTTGGTGTCATTGTTCATTTGGAAGACCCATTTGCGACCAAGCTTTAACTTCCTGACTGATGTCTTGAGATGTTGCTTCAATATATCCACATAATTTTCCTTCCTCATGATGCCATCTATTTTGTGAAGTGCACCAGTCCCACCTGCAGCAACGCACCCCCACAGCATGATGCTGCCACCCCCGTGCTTCATGGATGGGATGGTGTTCTTCGGCTTGCAAGCAACCCCCTTTTTGCTCCAAACATAACAATGGTCATTATGGCCAACAGTTCTATTTTTGTTTCATCACACCGGAGGACATTTCTCCAAAAAGTACGATCTTTGTCCCCATGTGCAGTTGCAAACCGTAGTCTGGCTTTTTTATGGCGGTTTTGGAGCAATGGCTTATTCCTTGCTGAGCAGCCTTTCAGGTTATGTCGATATAGGGCTCGTTTTACTGTGGATATAGATACTTTTGTACCGGTTTCCTCCAGCATCGTCACAATGTCCTTTGCTGTTGTTCTGGGATTGATTTGCACTTCTCGCACCAAAGTACGTTCATCTCTAGGAGACAGAACACGTCTCCTTCCTGAGCGTTATGACAGCTGCGTGGTCCCATGGTGTTTATACTTGCGTACTATTGTTTGTACAGATGAACATGGTACCTTCAGGCATTTGGAAATTGCTCCCAAGGATGAACCAGACTTGTGGAGGTCTACAAATTTTTTTCTGTGGTCTTGGCTGATTTCATTTGATTTCCCCATGATGTCAAGCAAAGAGGCACTGCGTTTGAAGGTAGGCCTTGAAATACATCCACAGGTACACCTCCAATTGACTCAAATGATGTCAATTAGCCTATCAGAAGCTTCTAAAGCCATGACATCATTTTCTGGAATTTTCCAAGCTGTTTAAAAGCACAGTCAACTTAGTGTATGTAAACTTCTGACCCCACTGGAATTGTGATACAGTGAATTATAATTGAAATAATCTGTCTGTAAACAATTGTTGGAAAAATGTATTGTGTCATGCACAAAGTAGATGTCCTAACCGACTTGCCAAAACTATAGTTTGTTAACAAGAAATTTGTGGAGTGGTTGAAAAACGAGTTTTAATGACTCCAACCTATAGTGAGAGAAAAAGTATTTGATCCCCTGCTGATTTTGTAAGTTTGCCCACTGACAAAGACATGATCAGTCTGTAATTTTAATGGTAGGTTTATTTGAACAGTGAGAGACAGAATAACAACAACAAAATCCAGAAAAACGCATGTCAAAAATGTTATAAATTGATTTGCATTTTAATGAGGGAAATAATTATTTGACCCCTCTGCAAAACATGACTTAGTTCTTGGTGGCAAAACCCTTGTTGGCAATCACAGAGGTCAGACGTTTCTTGTAGTTGGCCACCAGGTTTGTACACATCTCAGAAGGGATTTTGTTCCACTCCTCTTTGCAGATCTTCTCCAAGACATTAAGGTTTCGAGGCTGACGTTTGGCAACTCAAACCTTCAGCTCCCTCCACAGATTTTCTATGGGACTAAGGTCTGGAGACTGGCTAGGCCACTCCAGGACCTTAATGTGCTTCTTCTTGAGCCACTCCTTTGTTGCCTTGGCCGTGTGTTTTGGGTCATTGTCATGCTGGAATACCCATCCACGACCCATTTTCAATGCCCTGGCTGAGGGAAGGAGGTTCTCACCCAAGATTTGACGGTACATGGCCCCGTCCATTGTCCCTTCGATGCGGTGAAGTTGTCCTGTCCCCTTAGCAGAAAAACACCCCCAAAGCATAATGTTTCCACCTCCATGTTTGACGGTGGGGATGGTGTTCTTGGGGTCATAGGCAGCATTCCTCCTTCTCCAAACACGGCGAGTTGAGTTGATGGCAAAGAGCTCGATTTTGGTCTCATCTGACCACAACACTTTCACCCAGTTCTCCTCTGAATCATTCAGATGTTCATTGGCAAACTTCAGGCGGCCCTGTATATGTGCTTTCTTGAGCAGGGGGACCTTGCGGGCGCTGCAGGATTTCAGTCCTTCACAGCGTAATATGTTACCAATTGTTTTCTTGGTGACTATGGTCCCAGCTGCCTTGAGATCATTGACAAGATCCTCCCGTGTAGTTCTGGGCTGATTCCTCACCGTTCTCATGATCATTGCAACTCCACGAGGTGAGATCTTGCATGGAGCCCCAGGCTGAGGGAGATTGACAGTTATTTTGTGTTTCTTCCATTTGTGAATAATAGCACCAACTGTTGTCACCTTCTCACCAAGCTGCTTGGCGATGGTCTTGTAGCCCATTCCAGCCTTGTGTAGGTCTACAATCTTGTCCCTGACATCCTTGGAGAGCTCTTTGGTCTTGGCCATGGTGGAGAGTTTGGAATCTGATTGATTGATTGCTTCTGTGGACAGGTGTCTTTTATACAGGTAACAAGCTAAGATTAGGAGCACTCCCTTTAAGAGTGTGCTCCTAATCTCAGCTCGTTACCTGTATAAAAGACACCTGGGAGCCAGAAATCTTTCTGATTGAGAGGGGGTCAAACACTTATTTCCCTCATTAAAATGCAAATCAATTTATAACATTTTTGACATGCGTTTTTCTGGATTTGTTTGTTGTTATTCTGTCTCTCACTGTTCAAATAAACCTACCATTAAAATTATAGACTGATCATTTATTTGTCAGTGGGCAAACGTACAAAATCAGCAGCGGATCAAATACTTTTTTCCCCTCACTGTAAGTGTATGTAAACATCCGACTTCAACTGTATAAGAATGACTGGCGTGACCTTGGCCAATAAGAAAACTAAAGGTGGTTAGTGTCTGAAGAATAGGAGAAGAAAGCCCCTTTTCCACTGGCACATAAAATTAGGGCCAAATTTGAGCTAGCCCACCAAGGCCAGCCCAACCTGGGTTGACTTCAAAGTGCCAATGGAAACTGGGCTTCAGCTGCCTGACTAAACTAACCAGAAGGGAGTGCCAGAAAGCTGGCAGTTTTTACAATGGTTCTAGGTAGCCCATTTTATGTAGAGTGAAGTGTAGAATGGTAGTATTTAGCCAATTTTATGAAACGGGTTGTTTCGATCATGGATGCTGATTGGACGAGCATCATTCCAAGCGGTGCTGTATTCGCCAACACAGGCACACCTATGCTTGCTAACAGTTCCATCTGAATTATCACTGACCCTCCATAAGAATATCATCATGTTCAGGTTGCTGTCCGAATCATCTATTGTATTTATCTCAACTTACACATTATTTCCCCTTGCTTCTAGCCTAGTATTTAGTTTGGTAAAGCGGGGTTAACATAAGCGTGACTGAGTTAGCTGAAGTTGGCTAGCTAGCTAGCGACAAGAACGTTAGTCAGCCTGCCTAGCAACCATTTTTGCTAGAACGGACGACCAGTCCTTTTACGTAGCAACTATGCAAAAATTATTTAGTGTGTCTGTTGCAACATTACCAAAATAACTAACAACCAGATTTTTGTCCGGACTATATCTTCTGGTGGAAGAATGAAATTGTATGAATTTACTTATGAAGATAATGTTTTTAATGAAAATATGTCATTCATTGTTATTTTAATATGTTGGTAATCGTTATGTTAAAATCAATAAGGCATGCAAGTCAGTGCTATGTGATGTATATAGTCACAGCCAAATTGGTAGATGTGTTTCTTCTGGGCCCTACAGAATGCCCTTTGCCTGTGTCTGTGTCTCCTCTAAGGGATTGTGGCTATGTGGTCCCTGGCAGTCCTGTCCTTCGAGCGCTTCTTTGTGATCTGCCGGCCTCTGGGGAATGTTCGTCTTAGGGGGAAGCATGCGGCGCTCGGCCTGCTGTTTGTCTGGACCTTCTCCTTCATCTGGACTATCCCTCCTGTGTTCGGCTGGTGCAGCTACACCGTCAGCAAGATCGGCACCACCTGCGAGCCAAACTGGTGAGAGGCAACTGAGAGGGAGCAGAGAGCACACGTAAACATAGATGTACAGCAACCTCAACCTCCTGTTTGTATCATAAATGCACGCAGGCACAAAAGGGTCATTTTTGAATTGCAGTGGCATTTGGGCATGGCATTTTGTATTTGTATTTATTTAAATGTATTTGGGTAAATCTGCCCTTTCTTAATCAACAAATATGGTAGCTTCATTATTTTAATTTTTTTTGACTATTATGATAACATTGTGCCAACAGTCGCAGTAGGAACACCAATGACAGATTTTAGGTAATTTTGGATTTTCATCAACACTTTAAAAATAATTGACTAACATAATATCATAATCATTTTGTTCACAGTGTAATTTCCCTTCATTTAAATTAAAAATGCCATTTTTTTCTATAGACACACACAATTATCAATGGAATCCTCAAATGTATGACATACTAAAAGGGTGTGATTAGCAAATTATTTTATTTAATATAGACCCCTCCCCCGATAAGAGTTTAACACAGGAGGAAATGCTCAAGGTCCGTGTATGTCTTTGTAAGAAGTGATTTTCAAGGCGGAAACACCAATGACATCAAACTAAGGGATATTATTTTACAATTCACTAGTACTTCATACAACTGGCCACTGAGTTGATCAGTGCATATGCCCAGCATCCAAGTGCTGGCTGAGTTATTGGGGTGGAGAAGAACCCTAACTGTTTGTCCTTGGATGATGTTGGGCATGTCACATGCATGTGTGTCATAGTGGTATTTTGCTGTCAGCCCTTTGGCTTGTTTTCTTGGAATGACATTTTGTACCACTGCTTTCCATGGGTCTTCACCATCCATCACATCCTTTTTTAGGAGTGTTTTGGCCATTTTCACCGCTGATTCCGCTTTGGCTGTGATACGATGATGACGTCACATGTTTAAAGTCCCACTCATCAGCAAATGTTTGAAAGTCCATTCCGGAGAAGGGGGGGGGGGGGGGGGGGGGGGGGGGGCATTACCAGAAACAACAGTGTGGGAAACGCCATGTCTGCTGAACTGCTTTTTGCAGCATTCAATGATGGTGTCTGATGTGGTGTCAGTCAGCTCGTCGAGCTCCCAGTAGTCTGCGTAATAATCCACCGTGATGAGGTAGTTGTTTTTGTTGACTGTGAGTAAGTCCATCCCGATCTTGGACCATGGGAGGGGAGGGATTTGGTGGGGGATGAGTGTCTCCTTTTGTTGTCTCTTCTGGATGGTTGCAGGTTGCACATTTGCTGATAAAGATCTTTACGTCCTCCGTAATCCTTGGCCAGAAAACAGTCCAAATATCAGTCCATTTTCTGTGGTGAGCTCCTCTTTGTACGTCCAGAAATCTTTCAGTGTGTGACTCACAGCCTGTTTGGTTCCAGGCCAGCCATTATTGATTTGTGCGTACAGAGCTTGAAACAGTGGGTCCTGGGAACAGTGTGCTTTGATTGACTCCACTGTCTTAGTTGAGATGTGACATCACTGGTGTGATCCACCTGTTCCAGGTCAGTTGTGGCTAGACCCATAGCGTAGACTGTGGCTGGTGTTTGCATTTGTCTGTGCTCTGTGGTTGATTGAGCTGTTCTGAACAGGAAGGCAGCTACATGTAGTTCTTTGCCTTGTTTGTATTGCACGTGGAGTTGGTATCTTTATAGCCTTAGCAACATTCTCTGCAGTCGCTTTGGTGCTGTGAGTAGGGATTTCTTGAAGATCGTCTCAAGCAGTTTGTGTTTGCTGTGTATTGTGATGAACTCTCTGCCATGCAGATACTGATCAAACTTGTCACATGCAAAAACAATGGAGAGGCATTCTTTCTCAATCTGTGCATATCTTTGTTCTGTCTGAGTCAATGTTCTGGAGGCAAATGCAACAGGTTATCCTTTCTGTAGAAAGGCTGCGCCCAAACCTGTCTCACTGGCATCACACTGCATTGTGACTTCATCATTCAGGTCTTAGTATTTGAGCACTGGGTGTTGTGTGACTAACTGTTTGATAGTCTCCACTGCTGCGTCATGCTGTGGTAGCCATGTCCATTCAATGTCCTTGTCAGTCAGTCTTCTGAGCGGCTCACACATATCAGATAGGCGGGGCATAAATTTTGCAAGATAGTTCACAAACCCCAACAGCCGCTGTAGTGACTTGACGTCGGTCGGTTTATCCATGTTCTGAATGGCTGTTATTTTCTCTGGGTCAGGGCAAAGGCCCTCTGTGGTGAGAAGATGACCCATGTACAGTGAGGGAAAAAAGTATTTGATCCCCTGTTGATTTTGTACGTTTGCCCACTGACAAAGAAATTATCAGTCTATAATATTAATGGTAGGTTTATTTGAACAGTGAGAGACAGAATAACAAAAAAAAATCCAGAAAAACGCATGTCAAAAATGTTATAAATTGATTTGCATTTTAATGAGGGAAATAAGTATTTGACCCCCTCTCAATCAGAAAGATTTCTGGCTCCCAGGTGTCTTTTATACAGGTAACGAGCTGAGATTAGGAGCACACTCTTAAAGGGAGTGCTCCTAATCTCAGTGTGTTACCTGTATAAAAGACACCTGTCCACAGAAGCAATCAATCAATCAGATTCCAAACTCTCCACCATGGCCAAGACCAAAGAGCTCTCCAAGGATGTCAGGGATAAGATTGTAGACCTACACAAGGCTGGAATGGGCTACAAGACCATCGCCAAGCAGCTTGGTGAGAAGGTGACAACAGTTGGTGCGATTATTCACAAATGGAAGAAACACAAAATAACTGTCAATCTCCTTCGGCCTGGGGCTCCATGCAAGATCTCACCTCGTGGAGTTGCAATGATCATGAGAACGGTGAGGAATCAGCCCAGAACTACACGGGAGGATCTTGTCAATGATCTCAAGGCAGCTGGGACCATAGTCACCAAGAAAACATTTGACAACACACTACGCCGTGAAGGACTGAAATCCTGCAGCGCCCGCAAGGTCCCCCTGCTCAACAAAGCACATATACATGCCCGTCTGAAGTTTGCCAATGAACATCTGAATAATTCAGAGGAGAACTGGGTGAAAGTGTTGTGGTCAGATGAGACCAAAATGGAGCTCTTTGGCATCAACTCAACTCGCCGTATTTGGAGGAAGAGGAATGCTGCCTATGACCCCAAGAACACCATCCCCACCGTCAAACATGGAGGTGGAAACATTATGTTTTTTGGGTGTTTTTCTGCTAAGGGGACAGGACAGGACAACTTCACCGCATCAAAGGGACGATGGACGGGGCGATGTGCCTTCAAATTTTGGGTGAGAACCTCCTTCCCTCAGCCAGGGCATTGAAAATGGGTCGTGGATGGGTATTCCAGCATGACAATGACCCAAAACACACGGCCAAGGCAACAAAGGAGTGGCTCAAGAAGAAGCACATTAAGGTCCTGGAGTGGCCTAGCCAGTCTCCAGACCTTAATCCCATAGAAAATCTGTGGAGGGAGCTGAAAGTTCGAGTTGCCAAACGTCAGCCTCGAAACCTTAATGACTTGGAGATCTACAAAGAGGAGTGGGACAAAATCCCTCCTGAGATGTGTGCAAACATGGTGGCCAACTACAAGAAACGTCTGACCTGTGTGATTGCCAACAAGGGTTTTGCCACCAAGTACTAAGTCATGTTTTGCAGAGGGGTCAAATACTTATTTCCCTCATTAAAATGCAAATCAATTTATAACATTTTTGACATGCGTTTTTCTGGATTTTTTTGTTGTTATTCTGTCTCTCACTGTTCAAATAAAACTACCATTACAAGTATAGACTTCTAATTTCTTTGTCAGTGGGCAAACGTACAAAATCAGCAGGGGATCAAATACTTTTTTCCCTCACTGTATGTCACACTAGGTAGCTTTAACCGGAGTTCCTTTTTGTTCAGCTTCAGGTTGACATCTCTTGCTCTCTGCAGGAGAGCTGTAAGGTTTCTGTCATGATCTGCCATCGCCTCTTCGTGTGTGTCACCACATCCATAGAGTAGAATGTAATCTGCGATCACACTCACTCCTTTCAGTCCCTGTAGTGCTTCACACTGTCTGCGTTGGTATTCTTCAGTGACTGGCTTGATTCCAAATGGCATTCTCAGCCATCTATACCTGCCTACAGGTGTCCAGAAAGTTGTTAGATAGCTGGTCACTTCATCAAGTTTGACTTGCCAATATCCATCTTTGGCATCGAGTACTGAGAATACCTTTGTGTTGGATATCTCTGGTAGAATCTCTTCTATTGTGGGCATCTGGAAGTGCGATCTCAGTAAGGCTTTATTGAGTGCACTGGGGTCCATGCATATTCATAGTTTATCAGGTTTTTCAATGACAACCATGTTGCTGATCCACGGTGTTGGCTCTGTGACTTTTGTGATGATATCTGCATTGTCCATTGAATGTATGGCCTTTGTGATCCATTCCTTCAGTTGAATAGGTATCCGTCTTGGTAGCTGCTGCACAGGCCGGGCTGCATTGTCTACTTCTAGGTGTAGCTCCCCAGGAAGGCAGCCAAGCCCATCAAACACGTCCTTGTACTTGGAGATGATCTCCTCAGTTGTCATGATGACCTCAGTGGATGTGGTGCTTGGGGTGTCGACATGATGTAACACATGGCTGTGGTTCACATGTAGTAGGCTGAGTCTTTCAAATGTGTCAGCTGACAGCAGAGGAAGCTGGGATGTCTCCATGACCTGAAATGTAATATGAAACATTTTCCATCATGTTCTGCTTTGAGATTGCATTCTCCTGTTGGCTTTATCAGTGTGCCGTCATATAGCTTGAGTGTAGCTTTGCTGGGTAGTAGAACTGGATTGCCATCTTGCATGAGTCGCTGTAGGTCCCCATAGCTTATGACATTCACTGTTGATCCTGTGTCTAGTTTACATTTAATTGTATGGCTGGGGTCATATGTCAATGGCTCATCACTGAGTGGAGCTAGCTTAAGGTTAATGAACAATTTTTTCCCTTGTCTTCCACAGAATTAACCTGTGAGATGTACCACATTGCATCTGTTGTTTGGTCATCTGACTCATTATCTTCCTCTAATAGACTGAGTTGAGGTTTGTGTTGTGCTTGTTTACAAACTCTGGCAAAATGGTTTTGTTTTCCACATGCTTAACAGGTGACACCGTATGCTGGGCATTTGGCTTTGGCATGTACTGACCCACAGTAATGACAGGGTAAGTCGTTTGGCATTCTATGTTTGTTATTATCCCCTGTAAACTCTGTCTGTTTACGACCATATGTTTGGCGTTTTGATTCTGAACGTCGCTCACGGGAGGTATAATGTACAGTCTCTGGTTCACCTCCACCAATTGTCCTGATTTGCATTTGTTCTTGTTCACTTGAACGACACGTCAATGGCTTTGTTCAGTGTGAGGTTGGGTTCTCTGAGCATGCGCGCTCACACAGCTATATCTTTAGTGCCTATGACAAGCCTGTCACGGACTAGTTCCTCTCGTAATGCGCCACATTTACGTGTCTGCTAGCTTCCTCAGATTTGCAATGTACTGCTCTGATGTTTCACATTGACTTTGTTCACAAGCATTAAACATGTACCTCTCGTAGTTCATGTTCCTGGATGTCTCAAAGTGTTTCTGTAGCGCCTCAAATTTTTACTGGGTCAGTTCTCTGCTTCAGGCATATAAAGATTCCGCTGTAAGAGATGACATTTCTTTCTCATCACGGTTAGCAGAGTTGCTATAGCAGACTTTTGCTTCCTTTTCATCCAGACCGGTAGCTATCTCATAGTTTTCCCATTGTGCTCGAAAATGTTTCCAGTTGTTGTATGTATCGCCCTTCATGTCCATAGGCTCTGGTACCGGAATTACCGGGTAAGCCATTGTTGTCGTTGTTGTTATTATAATACTTTTTTTGTTGCTGGTTAGCTAGTTGGCACGTCCCTTCCTACTGTGCATTTATCCGTGTGTCGTTTTGATATTTTGATTCGTCAAGGATATACCTATTTGGTTCTGACTTCTGACACCATGTTTTGTATGGTGTTTATTCTATACAAGAGCAAGGTAATGCTGATTAGAAGGTCTTTACTTCAGGATCACTCTGTAGCATGCATACAGCTCCATTCAGTGCATAGTAAGTCATGCTGAACTTGGCTCACTAGGACTATATACTGTAGTATCACACTCAGATACACATAACAGCAGCGCCATCTATTGGCTTGGTGACATCTCGTAACAATTATATTTGTTATATATATTTTTATTTGAATAGCCTTCTTTGTTTTTATTGCTCTATACAATATATTACTTTCTAGCATTCAAAATAATAGATAGACATCTCTAAATCCTAAAAACACAGCACTACAACTCTACTCATTACTACTGGAACAAGCCAATTTGATTGCACTTAGTACTTTAAACAATTCATTAAGGTAACATTTTGCAGTATGAAGGAGTTGCATTATGGTTTGTCAATGACAAACAGTTCAATACTGTGTAAAATAAAACATGTATGATGTGTAACTATTTGTCATTTTAAAGTGTTTTTCATGGTTGCAAAGCCAAGGGATGCAAATGCCACCACAATTCAAGAGTGACTGTAATCCTCGCAAGGTGAGCTATTGAAAGGTATTGAAAACAAGGGTGTCAATTATTTTCACCCCTACCTTTTTGAGAATTAAATATATTTTTGTATTAGTATAAAATAATATAACTTTCAAATGTTTTGGAGCATACACTAAAGCTCAATATTTGAATTATTTATTTCATACAGTAATTTGTTCTAATATTTTTCAAGGGTGTCAATAATTTTGGACCCCACTGTATAGCATTTTGCAAATAAAATAAAAGTAATAGATTTTAAACAAACACGTCCATCATCGACAACCCCATGCCATGATTAGATAGTGAAAAAACACACCAATCTCTTTCATAACTTCTTTAAATAATAAAAGCTAATTTACCATTTCTGAAAGTGGATATATAGCATTTTGGAATTAAACTCTTCATATACTGTAACTACTAGCTAGAAGTTAAGACTAAGCCTTGTGTGTGTAACTTAGTTGATGGCACCTTGCGAAGTTATCTCAACTTCACAATGGAAAAACACTTTCAAGTCAAGGAGTCAAGATTATTTGACCCTAAGGGGTGTGCTCCTTCTAGAGATCATGGTAATGTTGTTAAGCATTGCTAATCAAAGGGAAGCAGGTAGGGGGGCTGACAAGCACTGCCTCTGGTCCATTGAGAGAGCCATCGCTAAGGCAGTGAAATACAGTCAACAATGCAATTATAAGCCACATTCAAGGATATACATGATATATCAGTGTCCTAACTTGTCACTCTGCGAAAACATTTGGGTCTGTCAGAAAACATTTTAGTTGGGTGCATCTCCCTAAACTCAACTTCAGATTTTGTCCAAAACAGTCTAGAGTCTGTCTCTGGTTCTGTGAGAATGAATCCCCAGCTTGCCGCCTTTGATAGCGGTAGCAGTTATTATAATGGAAATTACACAATTAGGCTTCCGTCAACTGGCCCCTGGGACCCCAATTATGTGTCCCATAGATTTGCTTCAGCTGTATAATTCCCACTTTAATTGCAGCTCAAATGAGGCACAAAACAGAATAAGCCTATCTGACAGGTCCAATACAACCCTTCTCCTCTGTCAACATTATGTCACACACTTTTATGGTGTCCTTAAAGGCTGAATCTACAGTTGAAACAATAACCAAGGCACCCCGCCTCTGTTTTGGTAAAAAGCTGAGGGATGGGCCTGGATAAATGTAGCCACTCTCAGATTAATACACAGATCTATGGATGCAGGGACTGACCATCCATAATATCAATATTATTGTTTTAACCATGTTTTGAGGCTATACAGTGTTTGTTTACATTTACAATGTTTACAAACATTGGGGGAAAATACGTTAATAATGGGTATACACTGAGTGTACAAAACATTAAGGACACCTGCTCTTTCCATGACATAGACTGACCAGGTGAATCCAGGTGAAGCTATGATCCCTTATTGACGTCAGGAAGGTGTCCTTAATGTTTTGTACACTCAGTGTATATAATCAATTCATTGTTTGTTTTCGACATCCCTAGGGTGTTGTCATTTTTACAAACCATTTTTACATTTGTTAGCTGGCTCCAAAAATGCTTGTCAGGAGATGCTGGACATATGTTATATAACCAACTTATACTTTTAAAAACAGTTTGAAAATAAGCTTAAACTTGAAAAGAGTGAACTATCCCTTTAAATACAGACTAAGCCATAAGGCTGGGCCATGTAGCAAATGCTGGAAATGTCATTCAAATGTTTATGTTCTACTTTCCTCAGGTACTCCAACAACATTTCAAATCACACCTACATAATCACCTTCTTTGTGACCTGCTTTATAATGCCCCTCGGGGTGATAATCTACTGCTATGGGAAGCTCCTACAGAAGCTGAGGAAGGTCAGTTCCCATTTATAAAATACTGGAACTATTGGGAGAGGATGCAACTGAACCAAAGTAGTCATTGGCCAGGCTTGGCTTGTAATGTCTAGTAATTACATCCTGTTAAGCTCTTAAAGTATTTAAATAAACTCACACAGCAGACTTTCTAGCTCAATAACCGAAGGTGTTTGTTGTCACGTCAACCCTAAGGTGTCCCATGCCAGGCTGGGTAACGCCAAGAAACCGGAGCGTCAGGTGACCCGCATGGTGGTGGTGATGATTGTGGCTTTCATGGTGGGCTGGACGCCCTACGCAGCCTTCTCCATCATTGTCACAGCCTGTCCCACCATCTACCTGGACCCCAGACTGGCTGCCGCACCCGCTTTCTTCTCCAAGACGGCTGCAGTCTACAACCCAGTCATCTACGTCTTCATGAACAAACAGGTATCTCACTCTTTTCCTCCTGAACGCATTGCTACTTATGATATTCTCTGGCTTATTCATTTCACTCGAAGCTAATAGAGTATGGATATGTGATATTGCTGTTATTATTGTTGTCCAACGGTTTAGAGGTAAATGTATATCTAAATGTATATCTCCCTTTCAATGAGCAGATGATCCAGAGAAATCAAGAACCGCTGTGATAATAATTAATTAATTTGTAGAGCGCATTTCCCATGCTCAATGCACAGGATACCTTTTTATAATTGCAAAATGAACTGGTACTTGCCTGCGTATCGAGGAGCTAATGCATTTTTAAAGCAGACATTTATTCATACACCATACAATATTTAAGGACAGGCTAACACCCAAAAACAACAGACTGAAAAAGAACTGTCAGCTGAGTTTTCCTCTAAGGCTTTCATTAGAAGGGTTAAAAAGGGATCATATCTGTAATTATGAAGTGTAATTGACACACATCAACACCATCATCTCAGACACCCTGGACCCACTCCAATTCGCATACCGCCCCAACAGATCCACAGATGACGCAATCTCAATTGCACTTCACACTGCTCTCTCCCACCTGGACAAGAGGGGAAATAACTGCATATACATATGTGATAATGCAGTTCATAGACTACAGCTCAGCATTCAACACCATAGTCCCCTCCAAGCTCATCACCAAGCTCAGGTCCCTGGGACTGAACACCTCCCTCTGCAACTGGATCCTGGTCTTCCTGATGGGCTGGCCCCAGGTGGTGAGGGTAGGCAACAACACCTCTGCCACGCTGACCCTCAACATGGGGCCCATCAGAGATGTGTGCTTAGTCCCCTCCTGTACTCCCTATTCACCCACGACTGCGTGGCCACGCACGACTCCAAAACCATAATCAAGTTTGCTGAGGACACAACGGTGGTAGGCCTGATCACAGACGGTGATGAGACTGCCTACAAGGAGGAGATCAGAGACCTGGCAGTGTGGTGCCAAGGACCAAGGAGCTGATCGTGGACTACAGAAAAAGGGGGGAGAGCACGCCCCCATCCACATCGACGGGGCTGTAGAGGTGCAGGTCGAGAGCTTCAAGTTCCTTGGCGTCCACATCCCTAAGGACTTAACATGGTCCACACACACCCGCACAGTCGTGAAGAGGGAATGACAGCGCCTCTTCCCCCTCAGGAGGCTGAAAATATGTGGCATGGGCCCTCGGATCCTCAAAAAGTTATACAGCTGCACCATCGAGCGCATCTTGACTGGCTGCATCACCGCTTGGAATGGCAAATGCACCGCCCTTTACCACAAAGCGCTACAGAGGTTGGTGTGGACAGCCCAGTACATCACTGGGGCCGAGCTCCCTGCCATCCAGGACCTCTATATCAGGCGGTGTCAAAGGCCCGAATTGCCAAAGAGTTCAGCCACCCAAGCCATAGACTGTTCACTCTGCTACCGTCCAGCAAACGGTACCAAAGCATCGGCTCTCTGACCAACAGGCTCCGGAACAGCTTCTCCCCCCAAGCCAAATTAACATTCGGTGCCTGCTAAATAATTTTCTTTGCAGGCACCCAATGTTGCCAAGAGTAGCTAAGAATGGGAAACCAGATGCTTTTAGAGAAAATATCATTCAAAATAACACTCACAAATAAAACACTCACAGAAAGAAATGAGAAATACAAAAAAATACAAATTCCAAGGTCTATGCACTTTCTCACTTGGCTTTTACAAACAAGGCTATCAGTCGAACTAACCCTGGTATGCATTTCTGTAGGCACATTGATTAAATGAGGCCTGGTTTCTCCTTGAAAGCACCAACCTGTGTATGAAGGCAGTTACAAAGCCACCATTAATTTGGTCAATCATAGCCATTAAAGAATAGTTTTATATTTTGTACCAAATCTCTATTTTTTATGTAAATGGCAGTTACAACGCCACAAATCATGTGCATGCTTTCTCGTTCTATTTGTGGTGATACTGATGGTTTCTCAGGACTGATGGCTTCTACAGCGACCAAAAAATAGTATTCTCCCCCTCTCTCCCCCTCTCCTGACTGAGCCTTGTTGTGAAGGCAATTAGAGAACGTTGGCTACAGTGCAATCCCAGCCAGAGTCGTATCTTTCTCTGGTCCCAGCACAACTTTCACTGCACACAAGCAGCTACTGCACTGAGAAAGGGGTTGTTGAAGAGGAATGCTAGACACAGTACACTCTGTGCCTCACACTCTGCTAGCATTACATCCTGTGTACTCGGCCATGTGGCAAAATGAAATACCTTTTCTTAGAAGAATGCAGGTACATCCTGCTATGTGCCATATCATAATAAATGCCATTTAGCAGACACTTTTTTTCAAAGTGACTTAGTCATTGTGCATATATTTTACATATGGGTGGTCTCGGGAATCAAACCCACTATACTGGCGTTGCAAGAGCCATGCTCTTCCAACTGAGCTATACAGGTCCACTGTACCACTCACCAAAGCTCTTCTGACACACACTTCTGCTTTGTGATTGTAATGGCAATTGGCATTCATGTCCAGTGCACAGAAATATGGGAAATTAATTGTGTCCTCCATTTAGCTGAGAAATGTGAAAGTTTTATGATGGTTGCCTTCTTCATTTTATAGAACCTTCTAGCCTCCAGAATAGCCGTTCAATGGGACGGAAAAAGCGTTGTGGACGTTCTCGGTTATGGTACTCAAGCTATTTTGTTGACTGTGAACACATTCTCATTTATAATAATAATAATAATAATTTACAGCAACGACCTGGGGAATAGTTACATGGGGGAGGAGTGGGGATGAATGAGCCAATTGGAAGCTGGGGATGATTAGGTGGCCATAATGGTATGAAGGCCAGATTGGGAATTTAGCTAGGACACCAGGGTTAACACCCCTACGATAAGTGCCATGGGATCTTTAGTGACCACAGAGAGTCAGGACACCCGTTTAATGTCCCATCCAAAAGACGGCACCCTTACAGGGCAATTTCCCCAATCACTGCTCTGGGGCATTGGGACATTTATTTTTAGACCAGAAGAAAGCGTGCCTCCTACTGGCCTGCCAACACCACTTCCAGCAGCATCTGGTCTCCAATCCAGGGACTGTCCAGGACCAACCCTGCTTAGCTTCAGAGGCAAGCCAGCAGTGGGATGCAGGGTGGTATGCTGCTGGCAGATTAAGCTATTCATATTCCTATTTCATGAGTTTAAGGACCAGACATTGAAAAGGGTTTATAATATTTATTGAGGAAATTGAATGGATGTGAGAATGAGGATTCAGGAGAGGAATGAGAATGGACCGGATTAATCCAAGGGCTGCAGATGAAGGATCTGGGGGGTGGACTCTAGAGTTTGGCTTGGAATTTCAGGGAGACATCATCGTCAGGCCATGGTAAATAGGCTGCTGTGGTGATGGCAATCCCCAAAAAGAGATATCCAAGTAAGTCATACCCTGGAGAGGAAGTGAGAGGTTCTGGACTGCATGTGCTGAATGGTTGCTAATATATTTGAGGTAGTACAGGCATATGGACAAGATGCCCATGGAATGACCCAACCTTAGACCCCAGGAGAGCTAGTAGAAGTGATGGTGGCAAGTAAAACACTCCCTTGAAGGAAGAACCTTGAGAGGAACCAGGCTCAGCTGGGGAGCCAATCCTCTTTTGTCTGGTTGGGTAGGATTCAGTGCTTGAGGTATATGGTATCCGTGAAATGAGGCAGGGACTGGAAGACTGTGCTTGAGTTAATGCAGGTTCTGAGAGATGTTGCGGGCTGCTGTCAGAGGAATGATAGGCTTGAGAGGACCAGCGTCCAAGGAGTTGTACTGTGTCTGGGATTCCGTGTCAAGATGCTATGGATGCAGCTCCGATGCGGAGGGAGTGTCCGGAGAATTGGTCAGCAGGATAGCCGTACATGGATAGTTTGTCTCAGATGGGAATGGAACCATTGGCGAGGCGATGGAACCAGATTCAGTAATGAATAGTGGATTGGATGGAGAGGCATGTTGAGATTGTTTGAGCTGTAGAAAGTAGAATAGGTGAGTGGGTCGTAAGGGCTGTGGGTAGTTGAAGACTTGAACAGAAGCAGTTGGTTCAATGATCTAGGAGAGGGTCTCAGCTAGTAAGACCAGGGGCCAAACTGGCATGTAACTGGCTGAGCTGGCTGGGATATGGGAGTTCATTGCTGGTAGGGATGGAAGGTGAGACACTGCGGGATCAGCAGGACCGGAGGTGAAGAGAGAAGTCTTCACTGGCAGAGAAAGAGGGTGAGCCGCCGCCAGAGTGTCGAAGGGAATCGTAGTAACTGGTCGTTGGAGCTAGGGGGAAGATGGCCAAAGGAAGGGGGGGCAGAGCGGAGCTGCAAGCAGAGGCAGTAAGGGGGATGCATCAGGGGCCACTTGCGTCGGGCAGACAGGATGCAGGCAGGGTGGGATGGACAACCTCAAAGGTTGCAGGCGATGGACAGCCGGTGGGCGAAGAGGCTACAGTACAGCTGTCAAGAGCGCCCGAATAGGTGCTGACATTCTACTGCAGCAGCCTGGAGGCAGTGACAGCCGAAAACAGGCAATGGCAGTTGTAGGTAGTTGGACCAACAAAACGAGCGGTCAGATCCATAACGATGGAGTGGTAGTCATCCAACTCCTAGTGGCGAGAAGGGTGAGCCGAGCAGATGACGTCTCTGTATTACAAGAAGGCCAAGGATGGCGAGGTGGGGAGAGAGGTAGTCACTGGCAGAGATAGGGGCCAGAGGGACCTTGTAGGATCTGCTGGCGAAGCGAAGAACAGACTTGATGCGAATTGAAGTGGAGTGTGTTGAGTGGAGGAAGAGCCATGACGGCCATCGAGAGGGAATGGTGAGCCGGAGGGCAGGGCTACGCTGTGACCAGCAGTGAGAACTGGAACATCGAGGCAATCGGCTCACTGAACTGAGAGAAGGTCACAGCTGTGAGGAACATGGGCCGGGACACAGCTGGAGCAATCAATTTATTTATAAAGCCCTTTTTATATCAGCAGAT